GCAACAGGTGAATGCTACTGACCTACACATCCTGATTCACACACACAAAGAGCAGAGTTATAACATCCTACAGCCAAAGGAGGCTGGCTATCACAACTCAACAGGAAGAACCATCTGCTGCATTTCACTCTCTGCACTGTGCCCGTGACTGTTTAGGTTTATCTTTGCTTTTGTAAGTGCTTTAATCAGCGAGCGAAGGAAAAGAGGGGTGAGATGACACTATGTAAATTGTCTACAAAGTTGTATGCTTGTTAACATTAATGCTCTATTGTAGGAAAATAGCTAGAAGATCAACATCATCACTGTTTGTTCTCCGTTTAAATGTTTCAGACAAAAGAGACAGTCACACATTTATGTGCTTATAATCATGAATCGGCAATAAAACTAGTTTGTACTGTAACATTCTGTTTCTCTTGAAGTAAATGTTGTATTGTTGTGTTTTTCAGCCTCAAGATGGAGTGTGAGAAGCTGGCCAGTGAAAAGACAGAGATGCAGAGACACTATGTCATGGTGAGGTCCACGTGACACTCAATTCATTTTGCATCACACATGACATGACATGACAGACATTTACCCTGCTGACGTGTCCTTGAGGAGAAAACCGTGTCCCCATCAGCTCCATGTGTTCTGGAGCTGAACTTTCATCTTTACTGTATATTACTGTATTACTATCTGAACGAAGGGAAGAGGCATGATAAGATTCAATGCACAGTGAAAGCTACTTTAGACCGAGAGTTTCCACTCAGGCACGCTAATGAACATGATCCGAGTGTCCGATTAGACTGTGCTACAATTTTTGCAAATTTGTTGATTTGGCAGATTTTTCATTTTGATTAAACTGAGCTCCAGTGTTTAAGCAAATCCAACATTTCACTAGGTTTAATGATTTAATTCAAAACAAAGTGAGGTGAAATCAAGCTTAGGGTTTTTAAAGCCTTTAGTCTGACACCGGAACAAACAAAAAGTACGAACATATGTATCTACTTCGCCTCTCTGGTGACACTCCTGTACAGGTAAAAAGCTTTTAATTTGGATGTCGGATCTATTAAAATCTGTTTGGTTGCTCTGTGAGAATGACCTGGTGCGACACAAGAACTGCACGCCTGGTTATTACAATAACACACATGTAACGTCACGCGCACTCTCTAAGTTGCTTTAAGTTTCCGAATTCCTTTTACTAATATGACCCTCTGTCCTCCTCAGTACTATGAGATGTCTTATGGCCTCAACATCGAAATGCACAAACAGGTATGGTTATGCTTATCTGTCTGCCTCTTGTCTACACTCTGTGTGTTGCTGTTTGTCTCTCTTTCTCTCTTACTCTCCCTCTCTCTCATGGCAGGGTTTTGATGTATTTGGTGTGTGTGCCTGTTGACGTGTCCTTGTGCGTGCACAAATGCAGTTGTGCGTTCATTTGTGTGTGTGTGCTATACAGTATGCCTGCGTGTGTGTGTTTATTCGTGATCGATGGGGCTCTGTCTCCATTTCCCCAGTTAGGGCCGGCCGGCTGAGCCCAGAGGCAGGATGAATGGGTCTGTAGATTGATTGGTGCTGTCTAGGGGAGCGGCCTGCTTTATTACATTAGAGGGGCTGGGCTGAGGAGGGCAGAGGAATCGATCATGGTGGGGCTGGCAAAGGAGAGACAGTGGAGCCCCCCCCCCCCCACACACACACTTTTAGAAGCAGGGAGGCAAAAACACACCAGCACACACTTTAGTAGGGCAGACGCACGTGTGTGCAAACACAAAATACCGAAAGGACACTTGCCTGTTGTAATGTAAGGCAAGGGCATTTGTGTATAGCCATAAATAATGTATGCAAACATTTGAGGATGGGGTGCGATTGAACACATACACAGTAATGTACTAATGTACACACAAACAGAGAACGTCAAACATGTTTATGCGTGAGTACACATATGCATTGCAAGGCAAACGTGTCTCATGGTTAAGTATATAGACTCGTGGATGAGGCGGGAAAACTCTTTTCCCCTCAGGACTGGTGCAGGGCTCAGAGCGTTTACCAGTAATTACCTCAACTATCGACCAGTCAGACCAAAGGAAATTGGAGGTGGATTGGCCTGGTTGCTTCACGGTGGAGCGGGGATGCTTCTCTGACTTTCTCACACTCCCTGCGATTAGTTTTGTTCCTCAAGTGCTCCTTCTCCTCCAGTGTTATTCTCCCATTTTTATAACCCAAGTTGTCCCCCTTCCTTTCTGCCTTCCTCACTGGATCTCTTCTTCCTTGTGCTACACCCCGATCCTCGTTTTCTTTTTTTCTTTGCTCCTTTTTTGGTTTTATGTCCATGTGAAGCTACTGTTCTTTCATTGTGAGGGAGATGCATCTCCTATTGTCCACACACACATAAACACACACACACACTAGAGCTCCAGGGGAGGTCATTAGCTTGGGGCTGCAGTTGTCAGAGCAACAAGCTTCTGTGGGCAGGGGGGGGGGGGGGGGGGGCAGGGGATACACAACAACCCATCTCCTGCTGAGGAGCTACGGATGTGTGTGTGTGTCAGTGTCAGTGTGTGCCAGCAATGTGCCAATTATATGTGTAATGGGAAGCCTGTTCTCTGTTGGCACATGGTGTGTGTATACTTGCATCTTCTCTCTGTATCCTCAACTGAACCCCTCTCAATTATATGATTATCATAGTGAGGATGGCGCACCATAGCAATTTTCCAAATGATGTTGTTATTCAGGAGCTGATGTGTTGTGTCAGTACACGAGCTGTGAGTTTTTGTTACCTTTTTATTATTCTTCCTCCAAATGTTCTTGAGTCATTTTTTGTAATGATGCCTCACGTGGGGATTGCAGCTCTGGGTATTTGAGACGTTGTTTTGTTTAATCCTCGTTAGTTGTGTGCGTTATCTAAGTTAGATTAGCTGAGCTGACCTGATAGTAGTTGGTTAGACGAATCTCAGACGACCTAATCACCGAGCTATTATACAAGGCTAATTATAGGCTTACAACTTAGGATTCTGAGAATGGATGTGCAGATATAGTCCACCTGAAATAGCTCTTAAGTTAGAGCTTTATAGGCATGGAGTAAGTTGGACATTATGAGATTGAGTGACTGTGTGCGGAAGTCAGCAACTCGTGAGCTGGCCAGGGTGCAGGTTTCTACTGGGTCTGAACGTATGTCGTTATGGTCACTCATTCTAATTGATTGTAGAGAGGCTTTAGTAACGGGTGCAAAGATCAGACCGGCCTTCACCTACAGCCTGTTGTGTGGCTTGATATACAAACGTAGCTCTCAATGATGAGCACTGTAAAAGAGATGTGCAATTGTCCATAGATAGCTCTTCACATTGTGCAGATAGTATAGACCCCAATGTACCCAGATGTGTTTAAGCTTGTCACGTGATCAAACCCTTATTGGACGCGTTGTATTTCATGGCATGTAAACTCATGACATGTGGAGCTGCATGCGCTCTGAAGGCTGATCATTCCTTTTGATTCCATATTCTCTTTGATTCTGGATAAAGAGTGAATTATGTACAGTGTTTACTGTTCACAGGGTGATGCACATTTACTTACCTATGTTTGTTTCTTCTATCTTAACATACTTTTACTCGATTCCTCTGGATAGTGTCAGTTGCAATAATTATTTTGTTGTTTCAGTTTTACTCCAAGTTACATGGTGGGTGAAGCATTGACTTATTTATTTCAAGACTCTTTCTGAATAGGTTAGTACTTTATAAAGCTCGTCCAAGTATATAATTGGCTGAACTTTGTTGGGGTCAGTTGTTTGGTGAGCTGATAGGTGTACGTGTGTGTGTGCCCCCACAATGTCAGCTATCCAGCTTTTCTATAAGATTTCTATAAAATGCATAGTGCTAGCAGCATGGCGTTCAGCATGGCAATGTCTGTTGATCCCTCACTTTGGTCCAGCAAATCATGGTCACCAGAAGAGGAACCATGAAGATTTGTAGTTTTGAGTGAAATATCTCAACAACTATTGGGTGGATTGCCATAACATTAATGTCCCCCTCAAGATGAATTGTAATAACTTTAATCCCATGACTTTTGACCTAGCTTCATTATCAGGTCAACATTTTAATTTGTCCGATACTTTGGACCAAATACCCACATTCCCATCATGCTCAGTGACCGGTAATTGATGTGTAGTACTTGGCAAGGGACTTGCCTTAGTAACCAGTTATTTCTACACCAGGTGATGTAATTGTTGGGACAGATGTTTGTTTAATAATGTGGGATATCAAATGTCTTTGAAGATTGATGACGGTGTTTTCCCTGAGTTTTGAAATGTTTTCATAAGCGTATCATGTTTTGAGTCACGGATCAGATCAGGGGGGAAAAAAGAGCAAATATAACTTTACCTTTTTTTGCAGCCGTTACGGATTGCTGATAATCGATGAGTCATATCGTCCGATAAAGATCCTATTTGTTGTTTAGTTTTGTTATAGCAGCTAGTAAACAAGACTCCAAACTACTTTTTTTTCACCAACGTCCCAAAAAATCATTTCAACCGCTCTTGTCAAAAATTCTAATGTTATTCTTATCATTTGTTTTAGTCTTCTGTGTAATTGCATAAAACATATTCAAATGACAAGGTCATTCATTATTCTATTTTTATTTATCAAAAAAAGATTTTGGCATTAGTAGTTTTTAATGATGTATTATTCATTATCTAATTATTATAAATGATATGCTGCCTAGAACTAGTGTTAAACCGGAAGTTAAACCAGTCATAATTCCCGCTCCAGTATCTATCTATATTGCTGTGAAAGCCTCCTCCAAACAACTGCATTCCTTCAAGTTTCTCGCTGAAAACATAATTGTACAAGTTTACACTTGTACACATCATGATAACGTTATAACTTACCTTTGCCTAATACTGACTTTTACTAAATAGAGCCTGAATGTATCATAATGTAACTGAACCTCTGTACGTTAGCTGTTAGCTCCGGTGCTGCCAAATCGTACAGACTGCGGATCAACCACAGTCTGTTGCACCGCTACTCTTAACACGTTCTAATGAAAATGATCCAACTTCTCATAAGTTTTCACATAACAACAACAACACATAGCAGTTGGAAGCTTTCTCATCTAGCATGTGTGTCAGTGTATCTTCTCATGTGGGTATGTGTGCGTGTCCGATGGGCCGTTACTACGTTTCATGGCTCCTCTCAGTCCCTCTTCACCTTGGCCCCCTTTGTATCAATTTGATTGGATGATATATGTAATACGAGTCCCCTTATCTGATTTGATGCCACTGTGGGGGTATCTGGTTTCAGCCAATTGTTGCCACCTCCGGGGGTTTGGGGGGGGGGGGGCTGGCGGATGTGTTGGCATGGATACTGGGGGAGAGCAAATGAAGTTAGTCGCTGATGAGATTATGTTGAAGTGCTGATGGGAAGAGGAACAAGAGGATAGAGGGGGAGCAAAAGAAATACGACGGGCCAGAGAGAAACTTGAGCTCACATTGATGATTAGAAAGGAAAGTGTGTGTGTGTGTGTGTGTGTGTTGCTGAAAATGGCATACTCTAGATTTGTGTGTAGAGCTCAGGGAAGTAGATGGGTGTTGTTATATCATAAACTTGTGTGTGTGTTGGCTTGCTGTGTTTGGGATGTGTTTTCCAGTGTGTTGGTGTGTGTGCTTGTATTACTCTATTGGTGTTACTGAACAGCTGTCTTTTCCAAATGAATGTAATTATGTTATTAACAATTATGTCTCTTTCGGTCTCTGTGTGTCTCTTCCTCCATCAGACTGAGATTGCCAAGAGACTAAACACCATCTGTGCACAAGTCATTCCCTTCCTCTCACAGGAGGTAAGTGTGTGTGTGTGTGTGTGACTTTGAGCTAAACACTCAAGTGTCTCTGCCAGCTTTAAGGATAAATCAACCTGTTACTCTCGGTCTTCAGCAACATTGTTTGTTTTTTGCAGCATCAACAGCAAGTGGTCCAAGCTGTGGAGCGAGCCAAACAGGTGACCATGGCAGAGCTAAACGCCGTCATCGGAGTGCGTGGACTGCCAGGCCTCCCACCTACAGTGTGTATTCCTTTTACTTACTCTTGATTTAAATCGACTGTCTCAACATGTCTTTGTGTGCTCTTTATCTTTTCAACTATTTGATTCTTTTCCAAAATAAATGGAAAACCGTTCCTATTTTGATCTGTGAATAGTGTAATTCCTGTTATTTCATAATTAATTTGCATACTAATAATTACATTGCAGAAACAAAAACAAAAATCAACACTTAACATGCAGGCAGATGGATGACTTTTAAAGACAATGTGATTCTTTCAATTCCTTAATCACTAAAGTAATCGCACGGTCACATGCACATATGTAGGACATGTGAAGGAGTTGGTAGGAAAATTAAATAAACAAGGTTATAAAGGAGATAAAATGAAACCTACGGATTCAGATATAGTTTCTCTTTTTTATGCACTATGACTGTGGAAGTAAAACAGATCGATAGATATCGCTGATCTTTTTCAACTGTGAACAAGTAGAGAATGGCGGATGTGTCGGTGGGGGAAGTGTGATGAGAGGTGTTTGTTGAAAAGATGTCGTCAGCATATGATGAGTGATGGGGCATGACCAGCTATTCAGGCTTGAGCAGTAAAGGGATTGGCACGGCGAGTGTGAAAAGGAGTTACAAAGACCAACTTTTTGCTCGCAGTTGGGCTGTGGCGTGTAGGTTGAAAGAGAGACAGAGTAGATGTGTTGATGGTGGGGACTGTTTGGGTGGGATGGGAGGTAGCTGAGAATACTCTGCTCTATAGGAGCCGTGGGGGCTTGACTGGCGGGAGGTGAGGCCATGGGGGTTGAGTTGAGGGGGAATGTGGGAAAAGGCGGGGTCCTTATAGCAAAACTGCGAGCATTGGATTTAAAGAGTTAGATGTGAGGTGGGCTTGTTAGTTGGCGTGGACTGGTGTGTGTGTGTGTGTGTGTGTGTGATGGGGGAGAGGTGGATTTGGCAGTTGCTGTTTGAGTCTTAATTGCAGGATTTCAGTGTTTGTAAAAGGGGGGGTCACAGCGTTGCCCTTACACTCCCCCTCCTCACCCACTCCTCCCCTCTCCCACGCCAGCCTGTCATTCACCCCGTTTGTGAGTTAAATGAGTGTAATGAAGCATGTTGCCCCTAACTCCACACACACA